AGCACAGCAAGTTAAGCGTCCCATGAGCACTGGTTACTGTCTCATCTACTCCTCTTCATATCCAGCTCCCTGCTGATGTACCTAGGAAAACATTAGAAGATGACTCAAACACTGGGGACCTGTCCACTTACCAGAGAGACCCAGATAATGTTTTAGGTTCTTGCATTCGACCTGACTTAGCCTCAGTTGTTGAAGTCTTTTGGGAAGTGAACCAACAGATGGGAGCTCACCCTTCTTCCTCCCTGTTATTCTGCCTTTCAAATAAGTGTTTTTAAAAAGTAAAAAGAAATCAGCTAATTCCAATTAAAAATCATTTATGAAAATTCTTTTTGTTTGATGATAGAATATTAAAAGAAAATTTAATCAGTTGTGAATTCTTAGCATTAATGTTTGGAATCATTTATGACAAAACTCAGTGGTAGCCAATGGCATCCTCTGTGTCATTTACCAAGCACTTGTCACCTACAGTTGTTTCTCAGTGTTTAGTGAAGTGTTCCAGAAACAAGAAATACTTAGCTTATGAAAATCAATGGTCCCAATATGTACACTTTTAGGAAATTTAATAAAACAATTCACTTTGAAAACATTTGAGTATGTAGATGGTGGCTTTGATGGGGTAGACATTTGCATTTTTTAATGCAAGAGTAAATTTTTTTTTTATAGATAAAAGATGAATTCTGAAAGATAAAAAGCAGAATTAGATGGATTAATTTATGTTCTTATAAAAGCATCACAAAAATTTGGCTTATCTTTCTAAGGCTGAACTTAATAAGCACAAGGAAGTTGAATTTTTGTTTTGCCTTTTTCTTCATTTGAAAAGTTCTAACTGCTAATGAAGTTTCAGAATTGAAAGAAAGTTCTTAATAACAGTACATCACAAGTCCTTTTAGAATTATTTTATCTTTAACAAAGAATTATGAATGGGAAAACATAATGTGACTGTTAAGTTATCTTTCTCTGACGTCCACTTATAGGAGACTGTAAATTGGATGAAGCAGAGATTTATTCTCATGTGACACAAGCAAAATTTCAGCTTCCCGTAAAGATGACAAGAATTTCCATTTCCACCATCAGGAGGTTAACCCTTGCACCATGTTGCTTCCTTTGGCCATATTACTTCAGTGACTTTTTTGGGTCTTTTTTGATTGGTTAATACATTTGGGAATACCAAACTTGCTCACACATACCTCACATGTTATTTTATGTTTCAGTCTGAAACCTTGAAATATTTGATGCCATTTCAGAAAGTATCCAGACACTGAGCTTTGTGAAAAACACTTAACAAAATTTGCTGTAACAGCACAGACTCCAGGCAAGAACACAGAGACACTGGAGCTGTTTTCTATGTAACGTTTTAGACAAATACATTGCTGAAGACCAAACACACAGGTTGCTTCTGAGCATTCCTTCAACGCTGAAAAAAATAAATAAATAAAAAGACCCTCACTATTATTGAGTCGCAGCTTGAATCATCTGTACATGTCAAGATTTCTTTGGTAGATAATTTTTTTAGAAATATTGTATGTATGCAAATTTTTCTAGCTATCTATTGAATATATCTACCAAGCTTCTTTTGTTTTTTTTTTCAGTTTCTATAGAATGAAGTTTGCATTGCTAAAAGATGTTACATGGAAGCATTGTTTTGTTTTCTTTGCAGATGATCATTCTTTTTCTCTGAGTTGCCGATGTGGTGGAAAATACTGTGTTTCCAAGGATGAAGCAGAACAAGTTAATTTGATTTCTTGTGATACATGTTCACTAATCGTAGAACTCCTTCATAGCTAACATTATTTGCATTTTAGAATTCTTTGATTGTCTATTCTGAAAGGTTCACTCAAGGAAATAGATTCTTTCGTTGTTAGGTCTATTTTTGCAAAGACAATTTAAGATTGTAAAGCCGAGGTCAACTTAAATTAATAAAAATTAATTTACTAATGTATATGTATTATGTGTATATGCATGTTACCAAAGTGACTTGATTGTATTTTATGGATTCTTCTCTGAGAACCTTATTGTTTTGTTTATACCTTCATGCCACGTAAGACATTTACCTTGTGTCTCCCCTTTCAGTGAGTGGACAGCATCATCATATTCCTTTATAATTGCTAAGTTTCTAACCTAAAAACTGCTGCAGCTATGTAGGTTTACTGTGCAACTACCTCAAATTCTAGGGTCATTACAGCCCAGTCAGCACCCAAGTAATGTGTGACCCCAGTTCTCCCATAATGGAAGATAGATATTAATATTTATGAAGGTATTTCAGTGTTAATAAGGATAGTACAATGTCAACTGTACAAAGAAAAATAGCTTTGGGGGCAAAGGGCCTAGCTGCAGTCATGAGCCATTACTTCCAAAGCTTGTGGACACTGCCGTTGTCACTTATAAAAGTAATTTGAGAAAACTTTTTATAAAAAGATCTGTAAGTGGTACATTATTTCTCTTTTAAAATTTCAGAGTATTAAACATTTATGAATAAGGAACCACTAAATCTGTGGTGTGATACAAAGGACTGTATTATTATTATTATTTGCCGTAGAAGATTGTAGAGGTCATACCTCTTACAGAGTTTTCTGTGTATTTAATAATTCTGTGGACAGTGTGAGGCAGAACTTCTTTGAAGAGCCTGAAGTGATCTTATATGGGATTTCTGGAGTATTTTTACTCCAAATCAGCAGGCCAACCATGTGAACTGAGAGACTCGTTGTAATATTTAATACTCTGACTTGCAAATGTAGCTGAAGCATGAGGCACATACAAGAGTACAGTATGGAGATGGTGCTGTGGCATAGTTGGTAAAGCTGCTATCTGCAGTGCCATTATCCAATATGGGTTTTGGTTTGAGTCTTGGCTGCTCCACTTCAAGTCTAGCTCCCTGGTTCTGTGCCTAGGAAAGCAGAAGTTGGAAGACCTGGAAGTTCTTGCCTCCTGGCTTTGGACCATCCCAGCTCTGGCCACTGTGACCATTTGGGAAGTGAACCAGCAGATGGAAGAGTTTTCTCTCCTTCTATACACTAACTGTAAAAGAAATCTAGAGAGGAAAAAAAGTTACTTTCATTGTAGCAGTAAACCAAGAATTCCAAGATGTCATATTCATCTGTTTTCCCCTTGGAATATTTTCACATCTGTCAACATTTAGAAGATTTCAGATTACTTTTTTTTAACCTTTATCTTTTGAACTAATATATTTTGCAGAGTGCCTGTTGCATATTGTTTACATCAAGCAAAAATAAATAAAACAGAATAGTAAATAGTTTATTGGGAAGTACATGGTTTCAATGGCAATAACAAATTCATTGGAAGAGTACACAACATGAAATCAAATAACAAATGCTGCTAATTATTAGAAAATCTGTGGCCATTAGGGCTGTCACGTAGAAATCCAAAATCGCTCAGAGGCCAAATCTGTAAAATCAAAATGTGGTTGAAGACAATTAATAAAAGCTGCATTATATCATCATCATTTTTTTGTTCTCTGTTTCTTTTCTCTATGCCAGATAATTAATCACTATTTCAGTCAGGAATAAAATGTCTGTATCAGATAAGACTTTAGAAAATAAGCTTTTAAATGTTTGACAGTGTGGCACAAAGGGTAAGCTGCTGCCTGCAGAGTGCTGGCATCCATATAAACTTTACTGGTTTAGTTCCCAGCTGCCCCACTTCTGCTCTAACACCCTGTTAATGCTCCTGGGAAGGTGGCGGAGTGTGGTCCGAATGCTTGGACTCTTGAACCTGTGTGGGAGACCCAGACAAAGTTCCTGACTGCTAGCTTTTTTCCAAGCCCAGCAATTTCTGTCATTTGAGGAGTGATCCGGCAAATACACAATCTTTTCCCTCCTTCTCTGTGTCTGCCTCCCTCCTTTCCATCCTCTATAAATCTGTCTTTCAAATGAATAAATCTTTAAAAAAAAACATTGGAAATATTTAAATAACACACGTGATATGTGAATTTTGTGTCTCCAAAGTAGGAGCTAACTGTGTGTCTTCTGCTTGTTTAGTTTTAAGTACTGAAATATGACATCTGTTTAAGAGTAGAGAATATTGTAAATTATCCAATAGCCTCAAGTAGTTTTTTGTCTTTAATGCTTGTATTGAAAAGGAGGAGCCAGTGAAATTATTTTTCCCTTAGAATCATACATTTGAAGTGGAAATTTTGCACAGCAGACTAACACATCACTTGGGAGGCCCACACCCCATATTTTAGTGCCTGGTTCAAGTTTCACTTCTGTTTCTGATGCAGCTTCCTGCTAACGTTCCTGGGAAGGAAGTGGACGATGGCCTAAGTACTCGGGTTCCTACCACATCTGGTAAGGGACTTTCATGGAGTTCCTGATCCTGGCTTCAGTCTGGCCTATCTGTGGCTGGGATCTGAGGAGTTAGTGAACCAGTGGATGGAGCATCTTTCTCTCCCTTAAGGTCACTGTGCCTTCCAAACAAATAAGTAAATCTTTTTTTTTCATAAAGATTTTTATTTTTATTATTTTTTTATTGGAAAGGCGGATATACAGAGAGGAGAGACAGAGAGGAAGATCTTCCGTCCAATGATTCACTCCCCAAGTGAGCACAACGGCTGATACTATGCCAATCCGAAGCCAGGAGCCTCTTCCGGGTCTCCCACGCGGGTGCAGGGTCCCAAAGCTTTGGGCCCTCCTGGATTGCTTTCCCGGGCCACAGGCAGGGAGCTGGAAGGGAAGCGGGGTTACCGGGATTAGAACCGGCGCCCATATGGGATCCCAGGCATGCAAGGCGAGGACCTTAACCACTGCGCCACCGTGCCGGGCCCCAAATAAGTAAATCTTAAAGAGAAGAAGCCCAGGTTAACAAGGTAAAGCTATTACTGTACTTAACTGCTGCTCCATTACAGGCTGTTTGAACCTAAACCACTAATCTGCACACGCTTAATAAAATGTGCCCAAGGACATGAGTGTGGCTGTAAAAATTGATGTTTGGGAATTTAAACTGAAGGATTTGCTGGCTAATAATAAAGCTTGAACTTTATTATTGTATCAAAAAGTTATTCAATTACCTATCTGTATATGAGTGCAGGGAAAGGTGGGTTGTAATGTTTGGTACATAGATATTGAGAAAATGCCAACATGTTCATAAAATGTCATCATTCCAATTGTTAAGTTCACTGACAGCCTAAAGATTTCAAAGTTTATTTGGATAGAATACAATGAACAAGACAACTGTACCTTGAAAAAGATCCGTCCTCTTATTAGTCCATATGGAATAGGTCCATAGTATCTGGAATCTGTAGAATTCTGTAGATTATCACCTTCTAACCAAACATGACCTGTTGGGACCTAAAATTAGAGGGGAAAACAGTCATTTTATTAATGATAAAATCTAGTTTGGGTAAAGTAATTTAAAAACATGTCATTTTGTAAGATGAATTGTCCTAACGTTCTCTTCAATAAAAATATGTACAAATCTTAAGATGCACATTTACTTCTTGCACAATGTCTAAATAGTAGAAGTTTCAACTTTTCAGAAGACTTACCTTTTTTTTTTTTGTCATATGGTTCCCAAAGATTAATTTGTTATATAAACCCTAAAGATAGGTTCTAAGAGATCAACACAGTGTGACTGGGTCATTAATTTAATAGACTTCAAATGAGGTCATCAGGATGCTGACTGAAAATGTGCCCTCCTGTCTCCATAACAGCATAAGGAGGGCAGCCACTCACTCAGCAACATCCTGGGGCCAGTACCAAGGCCAGAGCTATTAGAATGCTCCTGATGAACTAAGTGGTAATAGATTGTGACATCAATTACAAATAATCTCATCATTTTATTGGAGTGGGCTTGTCAGAATTCTAATTAGGACGCCTATTCTGCCTTTATACAGGCCATATCTTCAATGCCTTATACATTGATAATGACCATCCAAAACCAGAAGAACCTATTATAAAATCATCAGTTGTAAAATTAATGATTATGACCGCATCCTAAATGAGAAGACTCCATATCCTATATACCTCTTGTAGTAACAACTATGTACGTTTAAATTTTTATTCAGTGATAGGTGTAACCATATTTAGAAAGCATTTATAAGAATGAATTCTTTGCTCTGCATTATCTGTTCAGTTATAAACCACAAAAAGTATTCTCCAGTAATAATTTTTAAAATGGCTTAAAAGGTGTATTTTATGTCTTACTACTCAGCAAGATTGAGTTACTGTTCAGATCAAAATGGTCTATTATGGAACAATTTATTTTCCATATTTTTAATGAGCTGAATGAAACCATTTTCAATACCACAAGTTTTTTTTTTTTAAAGTCAAATTCACACAAGCTTGTAAGACTATTCCACTTTACATAAAAGACTACCTTATTTTGGAATTTCATTGCAGTACCAAACATGCACAGATTTTTTTTTCTTGTCACTATTCCCTAAGCAATGTGATAAAGCATCCGTTTGCATCGCATTTAAACTCTCTTAGGTGCTTTATGTAACCTAGAGATTATCTGAAGGATAAAGGAGGCTGCAAATTATATGCAAATACTAAGCCATTTTATGCAAGGGACATGATCATCCACAACTTTTAATAACTACAGGAGGTCCGTAACCAATCTCCCATGAATACCAAGAGATAGCATCCTTGCCTTGACATTGATGTTTTCGTTAAAATTTCAAACATTTTACTCTCACTATAATAAGCTGCTCTCTTTTTTTAAAACCATCAATATTTAAAAGGCCTTATAGGACAAATGTCTTCAATATTTCTGGTACTCTTTATACTGGTGTGAATCCAAATTTCCATCTCCAAAAATTTTCTTTCAATTTGAAGCATCCTTTCACATACCTTTAGTATAAATATGCTGGCAATTCATTTTCTCAACTCTTCAAAAATGGTTTCAGGCCCAGCTCTAGGCATCTGCCTAGATTGCCTTGGACCTAGGCAAGTGTCACACTTCTGGGAAAAAGCAGTCAGTCACTAATGGGCATTCTGGGCCTGGTTTAATGCCAAATTTGTGTCAAAAATACTATTTTTTTAAGGTAAGTAGGTAAGGCCGGGAACTCTGACTGGAACACACCAACATGGCCTCTAGGCACAGCAGATTGCCCAGGAAAGGGAGTCTCAGGATCTACTGGGAGCTGGGAACAGCTGAGGGCATGTTTTACAGGGAAGGAATGACTTCTAGGATCTTGCATGAGCCAGGTCATGGCATCCACAAGTAGGCAAGGGTAGGAAGGGGGGAAACGGTAGGGCATGTCTGGGTCAGGCCAGGCTCTCACCCACATGGGAGAGCAGGGCTGGGCTAATTAGTATTGCTCACCAACACCCACTTGCACATGTCAAAGCTGTGGCTGGGGGGCACACCTGGCTACACTAGGCCACAGAACCTGCCCACAAATGTCAGAGAATGGGGTAGGCAACATCAAACTGGGCTGCAGCAGCCAACAGAACTGGATCTGGGTGTCAGATTCTGTAGAGGAATTATGGGTTCCCCTCTGAGGGACTACAGCACACTGGTTTACACAGAGAGCTGGGGATGGTGACCAGCCTAGCCAGGCTGACCACAGAGCTCAGCTGACAGGAACCCACCTGACATTAACAGTATCTGGGGCTAGGAGCAGGCCAGGCAGGGCCAATGTGCAGAACCTACTAGCACATGCAATGTCTCGGATTGGGGACAGACCATGCCAAGCTAAGTGCTGCCCCCGCTGGCAAGCGTGAAATCTGGGGATAGGAGCAGGCCTGGTAGGGAATTGGGAAATTCCCATGCAAGGCCACAGCTCCTGCTGGAGCGCACAAGAGCCTCAGCTGATGGCAGGCCAGGCCAGGGAGGGTTGCAGCACTCCAGTACTTGTGTGAACCAAGTCTGGGGACAAGCGGGACTGGGCCCTGCAGGAGACATGAAAATGTGGCCCATTCCTGGCTGAGCTAGATTGTAAAACCTGCCAGCAAGAGCTGAGTGGACCATGTTAGGCTGGGTTGAAGCAGGAACAAAACCAAAGACTAGGAATAGGCCAGGTAGGGAAACTCGGAACGCCCCTGCTGGGCTACAGGAGCTGTGGGTGGACCAGCTTAAGCAAAACTGCAGCACCAACTGGTGAGAGCTGAAATGGGTGCGAGCCAGCTGGGCTAGGCTACAGTACCTGCTGTTGAGTGCCAGGACTGAGGAGGGCCAGTTATGCCAGCCTGGGCAGCAGCACCTACCATCACATGTAAGATCTATTGCTGGGAGTGATCCTGACAGGATGAATAGCAAAACAGGTTGGACAGTTCTGGCCAAGCTTTGCAGCATTTTCCTAGGTCTGTGCATGAACTAAGATAGATTTTCTCAACCAAAAGACCTGCTTGTGGCCTGGGAAAGCAGTGGAGGATGGCCCAATGCCTTGGGACCCTGTATCTTAGGGGAAGACCAGGAAGACATTCCTAGCTCCTGGCTTTGGATCAGCACAGCTCCAGCTGTTGTGGCCATTTAGGGAGTCAACTAGCAGTCAACTCTCTCTGCAAATATCTACCTTTAAAATAAACATAAGTAAATCTTTTTTTTTTTCAAAGGTCTAAAAATTGTCCTTGGTTACTGTTTTTGAAAGCTCTTTCCACTGGCTATAGAATTCCGGTGGACTATGCTTGCTTTCTCTCTCTCCACTTTATTTCATTGTCTTCTGACTTACTGTTTGAGGAAACAACAGCAGAGATCCTTTGTGCTTACGTTGCCTGTAAAGTGTCTTTTTCCTCAGTTTTCTCTGCAGGTTTTTTCTTTGTCACTGGCTCGGGGAAATCGATATTTCCTGGTTCAATTTTCCATACATTTATTTGCTCAGAATTTATTTCTGAACTTCTATATCTGGTTTATAGTTTTATCACATTTTAAAAAGAAAAAAGAAATCACTCTCTTTTCCAGCTACCACCTGGGAACTTTCTCAAAACATACATTAGTCATCTGTTTAGTATCTTCTGTTCATTTCTCCTGCAAACTCTTCCCTTTCCTTCACTTAATATACTTTTCATTGCTACATCTTCAATTCACCGATTTTTTTCCTAGTCTCTAGCTTAGTGTAGACACCATCTAATATTTTTATATTCTGAAATTTTCATTTCATTCTTACATTTACCAATTCTTTCTTCATGTTCACATTTTCTGCTAGGTTCTAATACTCAGAATTACTGGTTTAGACTTCTGAACCCAACTTTCCTATCATTTCTGTATCTATTTTATTGACTCTGTTCTGGTTCTTGTTATATTCTCCATTTTCTCAACTATCTAGCCACTTGTTATTGTTGGCTTATACCACCCCAGCAATCATCCCTTGTTCAGGCTGTTGAGTTTCATCAGAAACAAGTACAATTTAATATTTAGCCCCAAAGCCAAGGAAAAACCTATGTAGATTTCTGAAGCCCTTCCTGTAGATCTTTCCTTCCTGGTAGCTTGACCCTTACATTACAACCATGGAAGCATCCTTTTGCTACAATCTCTGTCAAGTCTGCAAGATCATCTGTGTTTTCCTTGCCCTGTGCTCTGAAAACAGCTTTAAGAATGAAGCTGGGAAAAAGTGAAAGTCTACTTAGTTTTCCTTTTTCTCAAGAATCAGTCTGGTGCTGTCTGGTGTGCATGATTGGAAACTGTTTCATGTATGCTACCTTTTACTTCAACTTTTCTTTTACTTCATCACTGACACAAGCTACCTAATGTGCAAGGTTTATTTATTTATTCATTTAGGTTTATTTGTTTGAAAAGCAAGGGTTACAGAGAGGGAAAGACAGCAGGATTTTCATGTGCTGGTTCAATCCCCAGTTGGATGCATAGCTGAAGCTGAGCAGATCTGAAGCCAGGAGCCAAAAGCTTCATTCAGGTCTCCTACATGCATGTATAGGCCCAACCACTTGTGCTATTTTCCACTGCTTTCCCAGGTGCATCAGGAAGGAGCTGGATTGGACATGGAGCAGCCAGGACACAAACCTGCATTTATATGGGATGCTGGTACTATAGGTGGTAACTTTACCCACTATGTCACAGCACTGCCCCCCACCATTCTTTTCAAAAGCCTACTTCATAGAGTGCTATGGTACAGTTGGTTAAACTGCCACTTACAATGCATATCTATGATCAGAGTGCCTGGTTTGAATTCCAGCCACTCCACTTCCCATCCAGCTTCTTGATAATGTACATCCTGAGAGACACGAGATGATGACTCAAGTCCTGAAGTGCCCTCTACCCCCAAAGGACAGTCAGGTGAGATTCCACACTTCCGGTTTTGGCCCAGCCCAATCCTTTTGGGCCATCTGGAGAGTAAATTAGATAAAAGATTCTCTCCTCTGTCACTATGCCTTCCTAATAGACTCAAATA